ATTTTTAGTTAAAATTATTATTAATTAATATAATAAGTGGTAGTAAATGAAAAATAAAATGATAAGAAAGACGAAAATAGAAAGAAAAAAACCACAGGGACTAAAATTGTAATTTACTCTAAGATCAAATAAAAAAAAACAAAAAGACAAAAAAGTTAACTAGCCTATTTAAACTATAGTTAATCAAAGGGATTAAAATTGAAACAAAACAGCAACTATAATGATCAAAATTGTAATTAGTTTAAAGAAAAAGGACCAACTTTGATAGTGAATCACAATTGCAAGGACTAAAAATCTAATTTACTCTTTATTTTATGCTAATTATTTAGTTCATTATTTTTAAATTTATTTAGGGATTAGTTTGTTTATCTTTTAATAGTTTCATTAAGAAACAATCTCTGAATCGTTAAGAGGTGAATTTTGTTTGACAAAAAAATTTGTCTTTTAATAATTCTAAAACCCTCTGAATGATTTTGTATCTTGTGGTGTCCTTAACCATTCAGCAACCTAATTTCTTTCTGGATAATTATCAAACAATTATATTTCATTTTGCACTGTATTATAAGAGTCTTTTAATCATTCTGATCACTTAATCATTATGCACCAAATTCAGCAACTGTTTGATCGTTGAAATAAATACACACCAAACATCCAAATTGTTATTCCTGTGTTCACACGAAGAAATTTTGATGTACTTTTGTCTGCCAAAAGTAACAATTAACTACCAAATGTTATCCCCAAAAAAAGGAAAGAATATTTATGTTGAAAAACAATTAAATAATAATAATAATAATAATAATATATAAAAAAATTATTAATTCGAATTAGATGCAATAAACATAAAATGAATTTACATGAAAAAATTAAGAATAAGCAACTATAAATAGAGAGAAATTAAACCATCTAAAAGTATAAACAAAAATCAGTATTCATATCTCACTTTTTACCATGATCATCTCCACTCTTTTCTTCGTCACGATATTCACGTTCCTGCTCGCCTGGTGCACCCGTTCCCAACCCCGACCACCACTTCCACCCGGTCCTAAACCCTTGCCCTACGTTGGGAGCTTCATCACTATGATTCAAAACAAGCCGGCGTTTAGATGGATACACAGGATGATGGATGAAATGGACACTAAGATCCTATGCATTCGCCTCGGAAACGTCCATGTTATATCAGTGAGCGATCCAAAAATCGCTTGTGAGTTCTTGAAGGAGAAAGATGAGATCTTCTCGTCAAGGCCCGATTTCATGTCGAGTTATCTGACGAGCGATGGTTACTTGACCACTGTCCTGGTTCCATCGAGTGACCATTGGAAGAATATGAGGAAAATCCTAGCCGTAAAGATTCTTTCATCTACTAGGCACAAGTGGTTGAAAAGCAAGCGAGACGAAGAAGCTGATAATTTGCTTAGGTAAGTGCATAATTTGTACTCTTACATCAGCTGGATTTATGTCCTGTTTGGTTTGCAGGATTAGGTTGGATTGGATAGGCATGGGAATGAGACCCGTCCTACTGAGAACCAGTGTACCCGCCCCAATAGGGACGGAGATACCCTGCAAAAATGGGGACCAGGATGGGGACGGGGCAGGGTAACATGGTCCCGCCCCAGCCCTGAATATTAAATATATTATATATTTTTATTATTAAATATACTATTTATAAAGAATTCGATTTAGTATCTTCTAGATTTAGAAATAGTATTTTGACAGTTTCTTCTTACTTTTATTTAGATAAAAAAAAAGGTTTGAAAGACGAAAGCATTTGATCAAACAATTACGTATGATATTGGTATTTGTTCGCATATAAATATTTGATACTCTATAAAAGTAAAATTTGAAAATATACGAGATTTAAATATGAACCATTATTGATCGAGTGTGGTGTTTAAGTTTAACATATTTGATTTAACGGGGGGAAATCCGCTCTAGTCCAAGAGCAGACCTCTTAAGGGTCTCATGCTACCGCTCACCCGAATGTGTTTGTGTTATAGGTACATTTACGATCGGTGTGAGATCAATTTTACGGTCACCGGAGGGATTATGAACGTGAGGACTATCGTGCAACAACACTCGAGCAACGTCACAAGGAAGATCATATTCGGAAGTAGATACTTGGGCAAAGGGAGTGTCGATGGTGGACCTGGGGAAGAAGAAATCGAGCATGTCGAGTCACTTTTGATCATTCTGTCTTACGTTTACTCATTCTGTGTGACAGATTACTTCCCGTTCTTGCGATGGATAACCGATCTCGATGGGCATGAGAAGATCATGAGGAACGCTATTCGTACCGCAAGAAAACATCAAGACCGTTTGATCGATGAAAGGATTCAACAATGGAAAGATGGTCTTATAACCAAAGAAGACGACTTGCTTGACGTTTTCATCAACCTTAGAAACCCTATTTTAACTGCAAATCAAATCAAAGCCCAAATCCTTGTAAGATTAGCACAAGTTTGGTGTTTTCACCAAAAAGCCTTTGGCTTAGCAGTATATGAGTCTTTGATCTCTTAGCAGATCAAGGGTTCAAACCTCACCACCGAAGGGTGTGTGAGTTTATATTGTGAATTTTTTTTCATAAAATATGTATTTATTTTTGGTGTAATATATTACAGGAACTCATATTAGCAGCATTTGATAATCCATCGAATTGTGTAGAATGGGCAATGGCAGAAATGATGAACCAACCGAGGATTTTCGATCGAGCGATCCACGAGCTCGATTCCGTGATCGGAAAAGAGAAGTTGGTACAAGAATCTGATCTTCCTAAACTTAATTACATCAAAGCATGTGTCAAGGAAGCTTTCAGGCTGCATCCAAGTGCAGCATTCAATCTTCCTCATGTTGCGGCGGTCGACACCACCGTCGGCGGATACTTCATACCGAAGGGTAGTCACGTGCTTTTGAGTCGTATCGGACTCGGTCGGAACCCTGAAGTCTGGGATGACCCTCTAACTTTCGAACCAGAACGTCACATAGATGGTGACAACGAAGTGGTACTCACAGACTACAACCTTCAAATGTTGTCGTTTAGTTGTGGACGACGTGGGTGCCCAGGAGTGTTGTTCGGCTCGACCATGACCGTAATGTTGCTGGCTAGGCTAGTCCAAGGGTTCACCTGGGAGTTGCCACCCAATGAACCTCTTGTTGATTTGAAGGAGAACCTTCGAAATGTAGCTAAGGCTGAACCATTATTCGCCCTCGTAAAGCCTCGTCTACCTCACCATCTATACCCCACATGTTGAACTGAACCGAATGTTCGGCGAACTGACCGTGAACCATTCAAAGGGAAGTTCGTTTATTTAATAAAGTGATAAACATGACAAATGTTTTTCGTTCGTATATTTAAATTAACGAACAAACACGAACAGAAGTCTCGCTTGTTTAATTGCATTTGTGATCGTTTGATTATGTTCGTTTGTTTATGTGATGTTGATGTATAATATTTTTCACGAAAAATGATGATGATTGTTTATTTTGTTCATTTACTAGGGATAACGGGTGATTGATGCTAATATTGAATGATGATTGTTGGGTTTCAAACAATTATTTTAAGTGTTTTGTTTGGTAATTGTTGAATGGTTTGGTACAGAATAATAAAGTGGTCAAAATGATTAAGAGACTCTCATGATATAACGTAAAATGAAATATAAGTATTTGATGATTATTTAGAACGAAATTAGGGCGTTGAATGGTTAAGGGAAGCTCATGATACAAAATCATTCAGAGGGTTTTAGAACTATTAAGAGATAGACTTTTTTTTGCAGAATGGGATGGATATGCTTCCGACTACCCAAATTCATCGTCGGCGATCCAAATCCTTCACTTTCCAATTCCGCTTAATGTACAAGCATTACATGGAGAGAGAGAGAATCCGCACTTCTAAATTATGATTCTTCGAACATAAAAAGCTAATTGAATCGAGGTTTGATTTAGTAAAATACTAAAGGTGCTGAAGTTTGAAGTTTGATTTCATTTCTGATTTATAAGAGGTGGTCCTGAAGTCTTAAATCTGAATCAGTAAGATTGTTCTCTTTTTACGTCTGAAGTCTGAAATCTGAAATATGAATCAGTCAAATTAGTGCAAATATATAAAAGATAAATAGCTTTTTTACAAAAGTATAAAAGATAATAGTTTTTACTAACAAATCTCTTTCAGCCCCGAAAATATAAACCATTTGATAGAAGGCGAATTAGGATTAAGAGGTATTAAATGATACGTTTACCACTTAAAATTTCAGATGACATTTAGAGCTTAAAATTTTGCGTTATCTTATAAACCTGTTTTTGTTGTAATGACATCTGACATTGATCATTTTTTTTTTCCTTTTCTTTTATTTAAAACAGATGTATATCTTCGGTTCCTCAGTCTTTTTATCGGATTACCCTTTTCTTGCTTTGGTCACTTTTAGTCCCTGACCTTTTATCCCTTGACAATCCTAGTCCTTTAGCCCTTATAATTGAGGTGTTACGCTAACCCTTTGTTCTCGCTAGGGACGCTACCCCTAGGACCCTGTAAGGAGGCACCAACGCACGTCTTATGGCGATATAAAGTGACAGAAGAAACATTTGTGAATTTGCACTGGGCATCTCGTAGCTCACTTCATGTATGCTTTGTCGTCTAGTCAGTTCTTTGTAAATCACAGCTACAACAAAATGCTCGATGACGTTAAAATCACCAAGAGTGGGTCTGTTGCACTTTGTTTTTTTGCAAGTTTTATTAAGAATTTGTTGTTTTGCTTTATTTTCTATTTCTTGTTTGGAGGTGGGGTCGGGGAGGTGTGGAGTTGTACAGATGGGACCGAAGAAACTCCACTTGTGATGCTTTTATTTATATTTTACTAGAAGAGTACTCGCGCAATGTAGTGAAACATATTTTGATTTTAATGTTCTATTTTATTATTTGTTTCTGTCGATGTTATAATACGATTTTATGTTTAAATCAAATAATGATTTTAATTTTGAATAAAATATAAATTTAAAGATATCATAAAAATTTGAAAAAATATATATGTCAATGTTAATATCAAATCAACTATTTAAAAGTTCTCATTTTTATGTAATTTCTTTAATTCATATTTTTTTATTATAATTTAATTTAAGTTTAATAACGAAATAATTTATTTTTGGTTTAGTAATATAACATTTTATAAAGATAATAATTAAGTATTCTGTTGGAATTCAATTATTATTCTAATTATATTTTAGATTTTTTATATTTAAAATGAGATGTTTATCATGTATTTGATTATGTTTATCTGCAGTTAGTTACACGAATTCAAATATGGAGCTTTAATAAGTTGTACTTATGCACAATCTACTTG